AAAAAGAAAAAAATGTAAATTTATCGGTAAATATGTCATGGGTGACGTTCTTGGTGAAGGTAGTTATGGAAAGGTGAAAGAAGTACTGGATTCGCAAACGCTTTGTCGCAGGGCGGTAAAAATACTGAAGAAAAGGAAACTTCGAAGGATACCGAATGGGGAACAAAACGTTCAACGGTGTGTACGACAAATGTGTTTTTTTTTATAAATGTTATATGCGTTATACCATAAATAAATTTTTTATCGTGTACAAATATTGAGGTAGTTTTTTTGTTGGGATATTTTGTATTTCTCGTGTCTGTTTTAATAATAATTAATATTTTACAGGGAAATAAAATTGTTAAGAATATTAAAACATAAAAATGTAATAAATCTTGTAGATGTTTTATACAGTGACGAAAAAGAAAAGATGTATCTAGTTATGGAATTTTGTGTATGTGGATTACAGGTAAATTTTCATACAAGTATTGTTTTTTATTACTTCAATTTATTAGATACACAATACAAATTTGGATATATATTTTACATGAGTTAAATAATTCAGGATGTAATCAATTTAACATTTCTATAAAATCATTGTCTATTCTATTTTAGTTATCAAAAGAAACAAATTTATTTTAGGTTACACATTGTATCTACTGTACTTATGTGTTATCCATAAATCTTAAGATTTATATATTTTTTCAGTGATAGGGAGTTTAAGTACATTGCAAATAGTGTATTCTTGGATATTTTTTGTATTACATTTGATTAGGATTATTTTATACTTTTTGTATTTGATTCATATAATTATATGTAAATATCTCGAAAGAAAGTTATACTTTGTACTATATAATACAAGAAAGTTGCTTGATTTCATATTATATCCATTTTATATTGATTATGTAAAAGCTAATAAATATTGTATGACTTAAAGGATACAATACTGGATGCTAATATTAACGATTGTAATTAATTTATTAAAGATGTATTTTATATTTTTATTTAAATTAGTATGTCTTAAAACCAATCAAATTGCAAGCAAATAATTTATAATATATCTAAGTTATTATTACTTTATTACAAATATTTTCTTACGATAATTTTTGTGATGTCATTGTATGTATTGTGTTACAAAACATATAATGACATTTTAATGAGAAAAAAGTTAAATTATATTAAAGTTTAAATTGTATTAAACTTTTCGATTTTGACATCTGTAACAATGGCTTGCATGAATTAACAACAATTAGATTTCTATTTATTAGATTCTTTACAGGATATGTTGGAAAGCACACCTACCAAGAAACTTCCACTTTGGCAGGCACATGATTACTTCTGTCAATTGTTGGATGGTTTAGAATATCTTTACAGTAAGGGAATAGTCCACAAAGATATTAAACCTGGAAATTTGTTATTAACCTTAGATGGTACCTTGAAGATTAGTGACTTTGGTGTTGCAGAGGTACAAGCTCTTTCATCTCTTTATTTTATTCAAACTTTTTATTAATTTAATTATAAGAATCGATAGAGTTATAATATGGCGAAAAAAGTATTGATAAACACAGTATATTTATTTAGAAAATATTACAAATACGATACAAACATACATTGCAACTGTGTGCTTTATTCCTATTTGTGATTATGCATCTCTACTGTATTAGGCATTAGACATGTTTTCCAAAGACGATACATGTACAATAGGTCAAGGCTCTCCAGCATTTCAACCACCAGAAATCGCAAATGGTTGCGAAAGTTTCTCAGGTTTTAAAGTAGATATATGGAGTAGTGGAGTTACATTGTAAGTAACACTTGTACACAACATTATCTAAAGGTCAGAATGATGTATCTATATTTTACAGGTATAATATAACCACGGGTTTATATCCTTTCGAGGGAGATAACATATATAAATTATATGAAAACATTGGAAGGGGTGAATATACTGTACCGAAAGAAGTAGAAGAGCCTTTAAAGTCGCTCATAGAGGGAATGTTGCAGAAAGATGCGGATAAGAGATTCACTTTGCAGCAGGTAAAAAGACACGCGTGGACCATGTGTGAGCATCCTAGAACACAACAACAAGTACCTATACCTCCTCTTAAAAGCAATGGCTGCCACAGTATGACTGTTTTGCCATATTTGATGGAGTATCATTATGGAGTCGATGAAAATCCTATATACTATACGGAACATCAGCTGAATGGTAGGTTTATTACACATATGCCGATATATATGTATTTTTCCTTTTAAAAAATAAGTTTAATTAAAAATTTATTCTCCAGTAACGGCAGCAATGCAAAATTTCAATGTGATTAAACTAACTGCCTTTTAATAAAACAAGAATTTCATGAAAATTTCCTTTTTTTTTAGAAGAACGAAGACTTCAAGAACTGGATCATATTAGTGAAGATAGGAAAACTACGTGTAACAGTCATCACACCAAATGCAATACAAACAGTCAAAACAAACGGAGATGGCGTAAGCCAATTTCATGCATTAGTATTAAAAGATTTCCATCCTGCAAGCCATCGTGATTTTGTTAATTGTGTCGCAATTTTATTGTTCTCACTGACTGTGTCAGTTACAAAGTTTCTCTAATGGAGACGACTGAAAGCTTAAAGAATGAAAAGCGTGCAAGATATGCATATAATGTAGCTAATCTAGCAGCATGAATGAGATACAAAACATTTGACAGAATAAGTTTAAAAGTGTCGGATGTAAAGATTGTGATATTAAGATTAAATCGTGTAGCGAATAATTCAGTGACATCCTTATTGATCGTTCAATGCCTAGGAGATGCCCAATCAAAGTCACATTTCATTTTGGTGCCATATTGACAACGCGATTAATAAAGTTATTAATCGTCTGTATTTAGCACTTTATTTACCATAAGATTTCCAATTGTACCTTCGTCCGTAGTAAGGCCTACTAAATCTAATGTTTATGAGGCCAATTGGACTGATCGAACATATGTATGCATGTACGTATGCATTGTATACAATACAAATGTAAGATGGTTTGACTTGACATTTTATCTAAGGGCATTACAGAAAAATACAGTTGGGGTTAATTAATTATTGATGTCGTACTACAAGTGATTCTTTTAAAACATTACTCTAATTTCCATTCGTTGAAAATGTCTACGTGTTTCTATTTTACAGATACCACCGACAAGGTACTATTAAAGATGACCGGTCTTATGTAAGTTCGCATTACTGTTAAAATTTTAAGTATAATTAAGAAAAGTAAAAGCTAATAATAATATAGTAGATAGTACTAATTTTATGATTTATTAATTTCGTAGACATGTAAATATGTTAAAAACTTAATATTATATATGTATATAATGTTCGATTTTTACATAAAAACTGTAATTTTAATGTTATCGTCCGAGTTTAATTATCAATAGAGATGATAACTGCAGAGAAAACCGATCGTACCGTTGAAAATGGGTAGCTTGTGTTTGTGATAATAAGAGCACCAGGATTGGCCCTTATTAGAACCCAGGGTATCGGTCATAAAACTTTTTCCCTAGGATAAAAAGTGAAAAGTGAAAATTTTCTCCATTAACTTCGATGATAAAAAATTTTACTTTTCATTTTTCATCCTAGGAAAAAAGTTTCATGATCGATACCCAGGTGCAATCCTGGCGGAGCAAACCTAAAAGGGCGACTGTTACCAAACGCCGATTGACTTAATCGACGATTAGTCCATTGGAATTGACCAATCGCGTCTGTCGTCAAAACTAAATGATAAATGCGATTGGTCAATTCCAATGGACTAATCGGCGTTGGTAACAGTCGCCCTAGGGTATATCCACACAAAACTTACATAGGCCGTGTCGGATATGCACTGCTAGTACTGAAAATCTGTAGTGTACGTTATGTATACTGTAGATTTTCAGTAGTGGTAGTGCATATCCGAACACAGTCAAAAGACGCACGTAAAATGAAATTGGATTATTTTCTTTATGCATATGTTTATGCAGCTATGCAAGTTTGTGTGGATATACCCTTACAGCTAAAGCTTAGAAAATTTTTACGATAAAAAACGGATGCATGTAATCGTGGTCTAAGGCCTGTTACATAATAGAGTCATAATTCAGAATTAAGAAATTAACCAATTATAGTCGATTATTTTTATCATATTTCTTACGGCTTACGAATTGCAACTCTATTGGGCCTTCTACAATAAGTCATAAGTCATAAGCTAGAAATGGATCAATCACAGTCGTCAATTTTTAGTTTCTTACTTCCGATTTATGACTTATGGCTTATTGTAGAAGGCCCATGAGCCATTACCTAAGTTTTAAGTATGAAGTCATAAGAAATTGACCACTCACAGTCGATTATTCTTCTCACATTCGATTGTGATTGGTAAATTTCTTATGATTTAATACTTAAAACTTAAGTAATGGCTTATTGTAGAAGGCCCATGATTGTGATTGGTCGATTTGCTTAAGACCTTACGAATACTACTAAAATTTTTGTAAGTGTGATGGCCTTTACTTTTCTTCAAAAAACAAATATTGTAATTTTTTCACACAATTTTTAGATTTTTTAATATAATGTTACGTAAGAAATTTAACAAATTGATCGCTATCGCTTTAATAACTAAAGTAGTAGAAAGAAAAGGAAAGGAAGAATCAATGAGAAATCATCAACGAAAACACCAATGTAGATCAATTTGGACTCAACAGGATTCATCGAAGAAATTTTCAATTACGAGGCACACTTCATTTTGCACATGAGGAATTAAGAAGAAAGAATAATGCATGTTTTGAAACATTCTTCAGAATGAGAAATGATTTATTTGATCGACTTATAGAAATGGGAACATCATACATTCAACGACAAAATACTAATGCTGCGTTCGGAAATATCACTCGAGTACCCCCGTGTATCGTCTTATCCTTGTTATTCATTCAATGTCAAACAAGGATAAGACGATACACGGGGGTACTCGAGTGATATTTCCGAACGCAGCACATCATGAGACAATGGGTGCGTTCCACTTAACGTTCGCGAGTATTATTTTGTCCTTCTTGTAATCGAATATTAAATAAGGATGAGATGATACACGCGATCGTTGCGAACGTTAAAGGGAACGCACCCAATATATTCTCCTAGAGAACGATTATCGCTTACTTTGAGATTTCTGGCTACAAGTGAAAGTTATAGAAGTTTAGAATATTCAACAAGAATCTCAGCATGTATAATTTCTCGCATAATTCTTGAAACTTGTCGCGTTTTATATGAGAATCTTCGAAAAGATTACTTAAAGGTAAAATTTAAATATTTAAAAGATAAATAAATTGTTTATAAGGACATGCATTGTTTATAAAAATTAAAAAATTGTTAAAATGAAACAACTGAATAATTTTTCTTTGTACAGCTGCTAAATTATTCAGATGTGGATTATTCCTTAATTTGCCTTCTATATATAAAATCCAATGTTTTAATTCATCTTCCATCTCTTCAGTCATTCCCATTGATTTAACTACATTGATAGCATTTTTCCAATAATCTTCTATGTCACAAGTAAGAAGTTCGTCAAGACTGTCGACAAAACAGTTGACTTTTTTTCTGTTTGATGGTGTTGCACTACGTGGTCTGGTGGGAGAACTGCATGATGCATTCGGTTGTATATTTCGACAAACATTTTCTATACAAAGAGGAAAAATAATTAAGTATAGAAATTTAATTATGTAATATATTTAATTTGTAATTATTTAATTATTACCTTTTGCTTGTCGATTATTTTTATTATCTAAAAATTCTAAATCGTCATTGTCCTCATCATACATTTTAACAGATTCTGTATCCTTCGACTGAGTTTTTGAAATCTGCAAATATAAAATAATTTTAATAAATATTTTATTAAAATATTATTTAATATTTGAGAATTTTTATTACTCACTGTTAATGAAGATTCTCCTTTTCTTTGTGCGATATATGGATCTAGGAAACTCATCTCTTCAAAAAGCCACCATGATGGTTTATATACATCATGAGAACATACACCATTTGCTTTTAACTGTTTCATTTTATTTAATAATATTGAGACTTTATTTGATAAATATTGAGAATATAAATGATTAATTATTTGTTTTACAATTTCTGGTGTCAATGATTGTTGCGTTATATTTTTATACCGTTCGCAAATTATTTCTAATGCTTTCTCGCGTTTGTTCCGATTATGATAATTTGCAGATTTTGTAACATATAAACAAGGATGCTGTTGATATAATAGTACCAACGTTTTTACCTGATCTTTGTATATGTTCATCTAAAAAATAATTTTTTAATTTTATTAATATATTATACATATTTGAATAATACACGTGTATATAGAATTCTTATTTTACTTTATACTTTAATGTAAATTAACTTATTTATATTCAAATCTAATCTGGTCAAAAAATAACCTTTTGATGTTCCCTAATCTCTTTCTCATAAATTCTTTCTTGGGGTCGATTGTGTATCTCGAAATGAGGTAAAAATTACAAAAGTTCAACAAATTCACTATTCATAATTTAATTAATCATTAACTAACGAATTTGCTAACTTTCACATTATTTCAAATACACTTTTTTCTATCTACCTTTTATTGATAATTATTGATTTTTAGTCTGCCTCGCGGAGTTGATCCAATTTTTTTTTAAGCTTTGTATAAGATCAAATGTTTAATAGTACGCTATTATATGAAATGGGACGTGCTGCATTTCTTCATTCGAGCTTTCTATTTTAGTTTTGCAGCCAAATTGGGTGTGTCCACGATCTGAGTTTTATGGCACATTCGATATATATGCACTGAGCTGACACGGTTCTAGTGCTTCTTCTTCTTCTTTAAATAATGGCTCTCGCCTCCAAACTATGTAATAGGAGGTCGATACACATCACTTCACTATGGTACTGTCAATAATCCTTATGCGTGGTCTACAATGGTAGTAGTAGTAGTGGATGAGACTGTTAAGCCGTAATCACACTACGGGTTGCGCGCTCTGTTGCGATTGAGATTATGGTTGAATGTTGGAAACTAACCAATGCTCTGATTGGTTAGTTTCCAACATACAACCGTAATCTCAATCGCAACAGAGCGCGCAACCCGTAGTGTGATTACGGCTTTAGTATAAGAAATTGACCAATCACGGTTGATAATTCTTCTCACATTCGACTGTGATTGGTCAATTTCTTATTTCTACAGTCTCATCCACTACTGCTACTGCCATTGTAGACCACGCATTAAGCCAGAAACACATAGAAAAACGTAAGGCCGTAAGACGAATCAGTAAGGAAATCGTAACATTGGATTCGCTACCGGCCTTACGGTCTCTATGATTGGCCAATTCGCTTACTGATTACGTTTACGGCCTTACGTTTTTCTATGTGCTATGGGCTTTACATATTTATGCCTGTTTCTACCTTTATGTTCTGTGCTCCTTGGACAAAACCAGACAAAACTGACCACAAGCTTACCTCGTCAACAAGGACCTTGGAGGACCTGGGCCAATATTATATAGAAGAAGAAGAATTGATTTGCGATCAAATATGGTTTTTTTGTCGTTGAATCTTTTAGTAAGATCCCGCGGACCTGACGAATTTTGGCGAAAACGGAAAATATTTAAGCTTGCCGCAGTAAGTGATTTGTCACGATAGATATCTTTATTTGCTCTTGACTAAAATGTATATCCATAAGAAAAACTAAATAGGAAAACTTTAACGTTTTTAGCATTATTTGGGTAGAAGAAGGAATTGTTACAGCATAGCTATTAAAGGCGTAGATCGAGCACTTACATACTGCACTCGGGGTAGACAACTAAAAAAAGAAGATATGACAGAGGTATTATAAAATTTATGAAGATATATAAGAACAAAAATTGTATATGCATATATGTATTGAACTCATTTTTCTCAAATTTTGTGCTTTTAGTTACGGGAGCAAAGGATAGAAGCTGCTACGAGTGAACATGGTATAAATTTCAGAATCCTTAAGGAAGGATTATCAAGATGTAACATTCTATTAAATCGAAAATCACTGGCTGACTTGGCGATTTGGGAACCTCGATCTTTCAAAGTCATTACAGATATTGCGTGTGCGAGAGCAAAACAAGATCATTTGAAGACTAACTTGAATATTCAAGTACCAAAGAGTGTTATTGTGAAGGGCTATATTAAATAATGTTTCATAAGTATAAAATGACAAGTTTTCTCCTTCCAATACATTTATTTATTATTTTTGAGATGTTTCTGAGTTTGTTTTAATCATAATCATATATCAATGATACCACAAGTCACTAGATATACAATTAATTTTTTTACGATACATCATTTGTGGTGTACCATAAATACATCTAATTACAAGAGTCCATCATGTACAATTGTCCAACAATAATGCAACATTTCGAGTAATCTTTCTAGTAGCTATGTTGCAAGAGCTTAACATGATAAACGAAAATAGAACTTTCCTTTGTAATATTACATTTTATCAGGAACAGATACATATATTCAAATGGAATAGGCAACTTACTGCGCATACTCCGGATAGAATAAATTTCATCTGATATAATCTCACAAATATACTGTTTTTTCGTCAACATGTACATTCAACAACGAGCATTGACGATTTGTACGAAGTCGGGTTTGAGTGAAGCACCACCAACCAAAAATCCATCGATATCCTTCTCTTTTGCTAAATCTTTGGCATTGGCTGCTGTCACGGAACCACCGTAGATAATTCGTAAAGTTTGTGCAACATTGGGGTTGACATTCTTGGATAGCCACTCTCGTAATTTTTCATGAACCTCTTGCGCTTGTTGCGGTGTCGCGGTTTTACCTGTACCAATTGCCCACACTGGTTCGTAGGCCAAAACCACATTGTCCCAAGATTTAATTTTGTCTGCTATTGCCTTGGTTTGCCTATAAACTACTTCTTCGGTTTTTCCTGCTTCACGCTCTTCCAATTTCTCGCCTATACATGCAATCACCTGGAGATGTCAAAATATATTTTTTCTCTCTCTTACTTTTATTATAATTAAACGCATTAAATTGTGTGTATTTTTCTACATATTTATATTTCTTTGAACATGCATATATATATTTGACAAATTATAATTGATTCTTATATTTACTTTCAACCCAGTTTCTAAAGCATGTACAACTTTCTCTGCAATTAATTCGTCCGTTTCGCCAAAAACGTTTCGACGCTCAGAGTGGCCAAGAATTACCCAAGGAATGCCATTATCCAGAAGCATAGCTGGACTAATTTCACCAGTAAATGCTCCTTTAGGAACTTTGTATGTATTCTGCGCACTGACGCTAACATTGCCAGGAACAATGGAAGTCACATATGTAAGATATATCGATGGAACGCCAACTACAACCTCTATAAATCACAAAAATGTCATTCTTTCAATTAAAAATAAATAACTCATACCAAGATGGAAAACTAAAGAACTTGAATAAGAAATAAAACAAAATAATTCATTATGTAAGCATAAAATATCGCTATTACATTCCTGGATGTAAATATGCGAAGAAAGTATATTGAATAAGGTAATTTGATAAAGATTTAAAATTTTAAATATTTATTATATATTTGGACGTTTTTATTATTTGCTTTTTTTTTAAATTTTCCACGCGCGAATGTATAATTTGCATTTGCAATTTAAATAAAATTTTTATAAATAATACAAGTGTTGATATTTCAGATACGAGGAACGTTTTGTACAGAGTGACTGACATCCACGTACCAACGTTAGGATCAAGTGGACCAGTTTTCAGGAACGTGATGATATCACCGATCTCACTCTTCATGCCATTCATCTTCCAGTTACCGCCAACAAAGAATTTGCGTCCCATCGTCTGTCTCGTCTGCACACTTCGTGACAGCTGATATTTATGCAACGTGCAAGCTACAGCAAGAAAAACTTCTTTCTGTCAGACGTGCCTTGACACAAATCAATCTCGATTCTCTGACCCACTCGAATCTATCTAATTTGACCTACTCTGACCTTCGCGCGCGCACCAACGCACACCAAGGTGAATGAATGACGTCTCGCCCAATCATATTTTACGTACATACATCTTAGGCCTGATTGCACCAACGTGATTTCGATTTTAAGCGAAACTTAAACTGTCTCTGTCTCTGTCTCCCTTTCGGCTTTAAAATGAGATAGATAGAGTTTTAAGTCTCGCTTAAAATCAAAAAGTATTGGTGCAACCGGGCCAGGCGTGTTCTGATTCTCACCTGAATGCTTCCTGATATTAAGTCATCTGTGTTATTTACCGAATGTTAAACAAGGATGACTTAACATTCGGGAGCACCTATAAAAGTGGGAATCCGAATATGCTTGAATATGCCTCTTGTAATAAGAACAGACATAAAGCCCATTCTACAATTGCGTAAGCGTAGGTGTGACGGTAAATTTGTAATTGTAAAAGTTCACCAATTACAGCCGAATACGAGAAGAATATTCGACTATAATTGATAAATTCTTATAATTGCACTATTCCCAACTATGTTTACCAACTGTAGAACAGGCTTGAAGCTTGTTTATGTTACAAACAGTGTAAAAAATTAACTAATCACTGTTGAATGTGACAAAAATAATCGACTATGATTGGTTAATTTTTGACGATTTACGACTCGCAACTTTATTGTAGAACAGGCTTAAGCCCATCTCCTAAGGACAATTTCATGCTGACGCTTGACGCTTATTTTTAGTGTCAAAACAGATTACGTGATCAAAATTGATGCTTAATATTCGTCAATTTGTATCACGCGATCTGTTTTGACGCTAAAAATAAGCGTCAAGCGTCAGCATGAAATTGTACCTTTACAAGCTAAGCAGTAAGAAATTAACCAATCATAGTCGATTATTTATGTCATATTCAACTGTGATTGGCCAATTTCTTATGAATTGTGATTCTATTGTAGAACAGGCATAAAGTTTCGATTACCGACTACCGACTGTACAACTTCATAAAAAGTATATAATTTAAAGTTTGATTAATACCTGTTTTTACCAATGCAGATTAACTTTAATCTCGATTCAATTTGCTCTTCATCTTTTTCTAATTTTAAAAATTAGTGGAATGGTAGAAATGGGCATAAGCCGGTTTTAAAAAAAACCAAACTCCGATTAACTTTAATCGGCCGATAAAATGTTTCAAGATTCGAAAATGTCCTTTTCTGGCGCCGAGTACTCAGGTACTCGATTCATATAGTTTTTCCACGATTTAGAAATTTGCGATTAATAAGGAATTGTGCTGTTATTATCGTATCATTCGCCACAATTCACAGCTGTCGGAAAATGAGGTTATGTTTTTAATTAGTAAAACTGAAATATAATTAACAGATTAACTTAATCAGAGTTGACGTGACCGGTCCTGATTCTGATGAGAGTTCTATAACCTCTCACTATTGTGTTGATAGTGTCCTGCGAACGGTGATCATTTATAAATTAAGATTTTTTTGTTAGGAGGTAAGTATATACTCACGGTATTTATGATATATACGACTGATAGAATGTTGAAACGATATCTCGTTACGAGTCACGTATGCGTATATAGCGTTTGTTAATATAATTTTTATTGACATATTAAAATCTGTTCAAATTTATTTAACGAATAGTAAAGAGCACCAACTTTTTGCTTGAATACTTCTAATTTGAAACCTATAATAGTTAACTCTAGGCACCTATTATTGATCCAAAATTTTTAATTGTTCAGAATAGATTCCGATCGAAATTATTCAATTATTCCCTAGATTTCTATTATGTTTTCTAGGGAAAATTGAACAATTCCAATCGGAATTCATTCGATGCATTCCATAATAGATATCCTGGTAATCCTGATGCCGATAACGATGAGAATTCATCATATAGATTATAGAGAATAGAATAGATTTATCGACTCAGTGCTCTTTGTTTTTATTATAAATATATAAAAGATTTTTTTTGCGATAGATTTCTATTCCGAGTTGATTCTGTCGATAAAATCGATCCTTCTGGATCTCATCCCTTCCTAAAATTTGAAAGAAATAAATTACAATTGTCTATTTATAATCCTTTAATTTTAGAAGATATTGAAATATGGCAAGCGAAGAAATATATAATCGAGAAGCCAATAAGAAACTGCAGCCCATATTTAAGAATCGTTCGTTCCAACAAAAATTTCGACAGACTAGCAGCAGTGGAAAGAAACGCACTTGGCGATCATTGAAACAAGTCTTGGCTCAGGAACGTTCGTTACCATGGCCAACGGCAATAAAACATTGTATGCATCGAGTGTGACAAAATTTTTTATTTCCTCTCATTGTTGCATTCATACATATTAGTCGGAAAATATTTAAACGAGACATTTTCATATAATGTACACGTGACTAAGATCAAAATAGTTTCGCGGCGTGTATTAAATATAAAGACAGAGAGTGAGTGGGACAGAAGGGAGGAGCGGGGAGCGTATAGTTTTTAGCATAAATAAATTTGTTTAAATTTCAGACAGTTCTATCAATGCACCACCGAGCTTCAAACCTGCAAAAAAATACTCAGATATTTCTGGATTGCCGGTGAGTAATCCAGAAAAATGGTTGCTGTAATATTTATCGACTATATAACGTTTAATCAAGCTTCTCGTCCATGCTGTACCTCGTAAGCGCGGTAAACTAATTTCAATAAATAAAATTTACATTTCATTTATAGGCTCGATACACGGATCCACAAACTAAGTTGTATTATGCCACTGCCGAAGAATTTGCAACGGTTCGCAGTTTACCGATGGACATAACGGCCGGATATTTGGCTTTACGTGGAGCGTCCAGTATCGTTGGTTAAATGATCCGATACTCGACATGGCCTAATCGAGCGACTACATTGTGATCTATATATCATCCGACAATGCAACTCAATCATCCAGTGGTCATTATAGGACATTTACAATTTATATTTTAAATATATAAACATCTATACATTTCGCAATATGTTGCTTTTAACATCCTTGAGTTTCCTTCTCGTTCATATTCACGAAGAACAGGGATACATCGATAGGGATGGAGAGTGTTAGATGGAACGATTCAATCGACAAAGAGATACAGTAAATAAAGTACCGATATTTTTTTTTCTCAGACAACATATTTATAACATTTTTACGTGATGCCAATAGTACTTTGCAGGATTTTTCCAAAATGAATAATTCCATAGATAATTTTGGTTATTTTCATTTCTTTTTCGTTCTTATCTTCTCGTGTTACTTTACACAATACATTATTAAAAAAGCTTGTCCATTATAACTTAGTATATGAACTAGAGGCTAATAAAGGAGAGAGACCTGCGGAGGACCTTCGAGAGCTGTATTACTGTTCATCGACTGTTGCCGCACTGAATCTTTAGTTTTCTTCAATCCAGTTTACGCGCCCCGTTTGCCACTAGCAATACGGCCATTTTAACAAATTTGCAATTGAAGATACAAACAGCAAGGCCTACTGAAATATTGCCCGTTTTGTGCACTATCCTTAGGTTGCCATTTGTCTTTAATGTAATTAATTACTTGATCGATTATTTTTATCGCTTTAGTCATATAGATCAGGAAGATCTTCATCATCGCTGTCGGCGTCGTTGTCTCCCAATTCATCCAACTCGTCAAAATTTGGCTTGCTATCGCCTGAGCCACTTAGACCACCCATCTGTCGCATCATCTATAAGATCGGAAAAAAAGTATATATCAATTATCAATAATATCTTGATATTTTTTTGCTATACAACAAATACATGTGACATGTGTTCTTACCTCTTCTAAATCTGGTGGGTTACCTTCTTCGTCGGTGTCGTCCTCGTCCTTCCATTTGTTAAAGTCACTCTTTAACCAATGAGCCTTTGTTTTGTCTTTAATTAATCGTGGCCAATATGGTCCCTCTTCTTTCTTAGCAAGAATCAATTCAAAGGTTCTGCCCTTCATATTTTTTATGGTTTTGCTGGGCTCAATTTCTTTGTACAGATTAATAGTAACCTCATGCATTTTTTTATCTGTACCTCCCTCTCCTTTGAAGTATATTTTTTCTGGTTCAATTTCAATAACAGGCTCTTTACAGTCTTCTAAGCAGATAGTAACATATAAGATATCTTTTCTTTGAGCCCACATAACTGGGGGAGGAGGTATCCTAAAAGTTGAAAAAGAAAATATTATGTATATATATAATAAACAGCTGCATTTAGCAGAAGCAGCTTTGCAACTATTATAAAATTCTTTAATATAATTGATCATGCCTTTAAGTACTTCCTGGCTGAATATAAACTAATTATATTAAAGAATTTTCCAATAGTTGTAAAGTTATCTTTTCTGCTGAATGCAACTAATATATACAAGTTTAGAAAAATTTTTAATATTCAATTATATTCTAACTAAATAAAAAATTAAAAATTCTTAACCCTTCATGATCACTCTGGATTAAAATGACCCAAGCATAGTGTAAATTATTTCAAAAGTATTAGACTAAAACAAAAATTTAGAAATATAAATTTAAAAAGTTATAATTTTTATAAGTAAAAAAATTTATTTTCCAAAGTTAACATATTAACATTCTTTTTAGTATTAAAATTAAATTTTTTATTACAACGCCATTGTTCCATTTTCTTAATGAATGAAATTATATACTTTCTCTGTAATCTTTCAAGTCAATAAAACTAATATTATTGATTTTTAATAACACTTCAAAAAATGTTCGGATCATTTTAACGAGGGGTAATCGTGTGACCATGAAAAGTTAAACGTGCTAACAAAAATTAAAGTGATATCAATTTGAGGAAGAAAAGTAAAAAAAGATTCTGTATCAAATCTAATAATCTAAATAATTAAAATTTGCACTAAGAACGTTTGAACGTTTTTCGACTTGATCGTGAAAAAAATTCGCCTGTTTTCTTTTGATATCATCTCTCTTTTTTTACTCTATATTTTCTACAATGAGTAGGTAGTATTATACTAAAGCGAATAAAATGATATCTCATAATTTTCATCATTTCGAGTACTACGTATCTTAGAAAATTCATATAAAACGAATTCCCACGTGTACAGTGCGTATTCTATGTACATAAAGGACCTGTTGTACCTTTATAGGTTAGAGACAAAAGCTCGATACCTAGCATCGTGATTCATTAGTTGTGGTAGTACGCTATGTGCGATATATGATATTAGTGTAGAGACAGGAAGAGATTTGCTTATCGCGTTAACCTTTGCAAATGAAAATGAAATGAGCATTTCGAAGAAACGAGAGTCATCACAGTCCCCGCCATCGTCCGGCGCGACATCATTCGATTCGTACAAGAGGCGAAGGAGAGAACAATAAAAAAAAATAAAAAAAAAACCGAGTACACGACAACGCAACATGGATAATGATGCAAGCGAATAATTGCGTCACGCATTTTTGTTCGAAAGAAAGACCGCTGCCATGTGGTTAGGTCGTATCTCGGTCTAGAAACTCGGAGAATCAATAAAACCGTCTCACCAACATGGCGATGCTTCGGAAAGCACGGGGCGGCATTTATATACATTCGCGATAGTAATTCGTGGCTATATACGGACACGCGGCTACGGAGCCTACCATCGAGCCTTAACGATGTAAATCGCCACGCCAATTTATGTCAATCCTGAGATACTTACTGGCTTTCTTGCGTCATGCTTTCGACAGCTTCTCTTGCAACGAGAATGAAACAAACACACAGCGCACGTAGCGCACTCACGCAGCTCACGCTATTCACCAGGCACCGCGCCGCGCGCCGCTCGGCGGACCCAATTCGAGATTCTAGATTGTTCGCGCCACTTCGATATCTCGTATCGTTCTCATGAAACTCTCAATCGATGAATCGATGTTGGCCAATCTGCGTTTTAACTCTCCATGATTTATTTAACCTTACAGGAAAAATATTTTAAAAGCACGCGCGCGTTGCTGTTCTTTTTTCACGATGTGATTTAATTAAGGGTCTATAAGGAGAGACCCCTCACTTAATCGATCGCCACGGGGGGAAAAATACCTAGATAAAAGAATATTTTGTATAAAGTTTTATCTCAAAAGAACCATTTCGAGATATCGAAATAAATGTGATTTTTTCCACTATAAATCTAAATGGATTTTTACAAAAAGAATCATAGATATAAAGATTAACAAAAAGATTAGAGTAAGAATTTTTTGTTATTTTCTTGGATCAAAATTTTTTAAAAATTCATGGATTTTTTAAATCACATTTTTTTTTATGTAATTGAACGTTTTCTAAAATAATTCAGCAGCTAAATCTTATTATAAATTATATTCAACTTTTTCAGACTTTTCTATTTGATGATAAACATGTCATAAAAAAAATTAAAACCGTTTTTCGCCGTTTTTTCCGACCTAGATATATCAAAAATGACATATTTCAATTGTTCTTTTTCTGTCAGTAAATATATATAAACTAATAATGAAAAAATTTGTAATTAATCGACTTTGTTCTTTAATTATATTTATTTTAATTTATAAATTTGTATTTGTCTCAATATTGTCTACAAACATTTTTTCTTGTTTTTTTATTTTACAAGTTTTCTTATTTTATGTATATTTCAAAGGAAAGGATGATTAAAGTATACATTGAACTGTTATTAGCAATTATCGATTTTTACAAATATTCTTATTTTCATTGTTTTTTTAATTCAATGATACGTAAAGAAAGAAACTTATCTAATTTCTTTTTCTCTAAAATTTATTGTGATATTGGGGCAAGAGGGAGAAAAGAAAACTCTGCTTTCAAATCTCCGTTTTTCGTCATATTGAATTTTTGCGAATAATAATCTTATATCGTATAACGTAATTCTTCTCTTATGCATGGCGATCAAGAGAAGGCCGCTTGAGAAGACACCAATTTCGAGATAAATCAGCACACATCACAAACACGTTTATGTATACAGGGTGTATCTTAAAAAGCGCCAACTAATCATATAGTTATTCAAAAACTGAATCGAGAAGTTCTAAGTCATTTTGCAAAATTTTCGCAAAATAGTTAACGGGATATTAATTTTTAAAGATTGTCAAATATATATAAAACAAACACAAGACAACTTTAAAATATGTATCTTTCAATGTTTTTGTAAAATATCTTAAAGATATTTCTTAGAGAGCTCTTAAACGAATATCTCGAAGTTGTCTTATGTGCCGATTATATATAAATTCTGTTTATTGGGTAATTAAAAAAAGCGCAAAAATTGCAAAATGATAGAAAAATTTTTGACTCAGTTTTTGATCAAGAATAGCGTTATATATATATATATATACATATATATGTATAGTGAGCGCTTTTTAAAATACACTCTGTATATACATATAAATAAATGTTAACGCATCGTCTTATCCACGAATATATTAATTTTAAGAGAGGACATTTTTATTAAACTCAAAACGTATATAATTTTATCTATTTTAATAAAAAATATTTGTGTGTATATATATATAATATATATTAACAACCTGTATAGTTAGTTTCAAAAGGTTTCCATTTTATTCTTCGTTTGATTTATTCATTACATATATAGATCCTAATTCAAATTATTTATATAATATATATTTATAAATAAATAAATGCGCGCATTGCAGCCGCACATCACATACGTATTGGCAGAGATAGAAACAAAGCGGTTTAAGTCAGAGTTTACAGATTGTAGGTCATACGTCGAGGAGGGGGCACGGGGAGAAGAGATCCGGTGGGGAGCCATTCTTCTACCGCGAACTAACTGGACACGCGGACGCGCGTACAACAGTTTCTTTCTCCTGCAGGCTCGATTCAGGTGCGATTTGCCATCCGCCGCGCGCGTCCGCTCTTTCGTTATCGTGCATGCGTGAGTGCGTGCGTGCGTGCGTGCGTACATGCATGCGTGGGCGCGCGCAAGTGACACGGTACGTAAGAGAACGTAAAAAGGCGCGCCCTGATCTCTGTATATCGTGATCGATCGATCGATCGTGCGACGCGACGCCGTGTGACGCGGTGCGACGCAACACGGTGCAGTCGCGCGGCTTCTCGATATAAGTGCGACGTGTGTACGCACGTTTTTTTTTCGCGCATGTTTACGGACAAAATCCTCTCACGAAGGTAGAAAAATGATTAAAGAGCTAATGTAAGTTATACAACAATGCAAAATAGTGTCGATCGAAAAGGGAGATTAGAGAGAAATTAATTTGTAGGAATTAGGAAATATAAATTGCAAGGGAATACAGAACGGATCTATCGCTCGCTTTGGAAGGAAAGATTATACTCTCTCAAGAAAATGTCTGTTTTCGTAAGGTGTATATGTTTACACGGGAACACGGATTTTAAGTTATAAATAAATATAAATAAAATGGAATAAATAATATTTATGGTTTATATATATAGAAAATGCATTATACCGTTTTTTATTACTATATATATATACTTTTGAATTTTAATAAAGTATTTTCTCCCCGAGACACACCATAGCAAAAAATACGAAAAAAAAAGGGACAGTTAAAGTACCACATCTCTAGAATTTATTAAATTTTGTATATTACTCGGATACAAACAAAGTTCGCAGAGATAAACGTATTAAACGAATCTTGTGTTTTTTTTTTCTATCCTATCAGCTTTGTGCAACAATACTAGTATCGTTATCGATATCGTTCCTGTGTCAAATGTGAGTGTGACGAGTATTTCTGGATTGGAAAGAAGACGGTATGGACGACGGCAATAAGATGAACAGGACGACGTGACCTTCGATTTGAAGCGGGTATCGTGAGCATCGGTCGAGGCACTATGTCGACGAGTTCGCTCTTTTACAAGGACAAGTACGCGGTAAGTGCCGTGTGTGATGTACACATATATACATTTCTCTGTTTATCTGTGACTGTTTTTAATTATCGCAGTCAGCACCAGATAATGAACGCACTCGCATATCATCGTATGTAGTACACACAGATGATGAATAAAACGCTCAATTGAACGTTAAAGTCACGCGATAACTTTTCCAAAATCCATTTCTCGCTCATGCAAGGAAGCTGACGTGATTAATAACGTAATTGCTTAAAAATATCTGTCGGTCGGATTAAAAAAATGCGACAGCGTCATCCATGTTTCACGATTACTCGGCTACGCCTATGAGTTTTATGCGCGCTTCTATGCACTTACCAATGCGCCTATGCGCCCATAGATGCGCTTCTGCGAAGCGAGAAACTCCACGGCTGCGGTAAAAGCGGTACATCTATATGTATAACGACGTGCTTTCACTCTAGCCTCACGAACCCGGCAAAATCGCAGTTCCGCGTCTAAGCAATAATGATGCATCGTCGATGCGTATCGGCATAATTGCAATACAAATCCAATTGTAGCCGGTCGATCGGGTATTATCCACGAATGACTAACGCCGGCTAATTATATCGTCATGCAACAATTGTGTCAATATATGCTCCGAGCTCAGCGTTTCCGCGAATGGTTGCAACGCGAATTAATACCGTCTGCTGACTACGTGTGTATTCGGCATACTTCCAAATCTTAATATCAATTGGACAAGAAAAGTAATATACAGCTGCTATCGAAATCGATCGCGCTCTGACCGATACTTGCTCCAGCGTACACATCTTATATGTATATCTTAATTTTCTTTTTCTTTTTTATTCCCTCTCTCTGTCCCCCTCTCCCTTTTTAGAAACTTGAATATAAGCTCGGTCCGTGTTCATCGTGTAGCCGACAGAAATTCTCCACAGACAGAACAACAATAATGTGTACGTATAGTAGAAAAAAAAAACAACACAAAAGGCGATGTGTTACAAGGTTAAAAATTTCATATCTCGTTAATGCATCTGCCGATGTTTATGAGACTCAAATACGTACATTTTTCTCTTGTATTTCCCTTCCTTCTCTTTCCATATCAAGGTGGGCGAAAGCTTCGTTGAATAATTAACAAGTTCGCCTTCGACCGCGCCTCATTTTCAAGAGAGTGTAAAATTTTTGGGTTTCTTTTTCGTTTACAATGGCCGTTAAATAAATTAATAATTATTGCCTGTCTATGTCGCAACGTGTTGGCTCGCTCGAAAGAACAAGGTACATTTGTATCGATTGATTGCGATATTATTGGATGTTATATCGATAAAATTATCTGTAGAAGTTTGTTAACGAAATAGTGTTGAAATATTGATTTAGGAAAAAATTTTAAGAGGAATGATCGAATCGCCCGTATTGATAGGGAATTAAGTCAAAATCAATGTGAATCAGTATTAATAACGAGAGAAAATGTAGGAATAACATTTTAATGATATGATATAAATTACAATATATTGTATATGAACCAAATACTTGCTATTAAAATTAATAGCAAAAATTTTAATGTAACGTTTAATGCATGTGATTAAATAGAGAATGTAATAGAGAAAGGAGTTGAGTCGTGCTAACTATTCGTACACCAAAGCTATAGGTATTTAAAACGTAAACCAGCGTGTAGTGATTATCGTTATGGGAACCATATTCTGCTCACTTTCGCGAGCGCGCTCTTCGATCGCAGGTGCATCTGCAAGTGCGGTATTGTACGCTGCTGCAAAATTGAGAGGGTCCTTTTTCTCTCTTTCTCGCCCGCGACGGGAGCACGGACTTTCCGTGGGAGCGGAATCCGTTCCGCTGCGTGGATCACGCGCTTGTCCGGCATAATAAGATGTATGTCTCTGACATAAGACTTTCACCCCTGAGGGGTTCTCCTGTTTCGTTCGGCCCAATGGATCTCGGTTT